TGTAGTTCAGGGTGATCCTGAACTCACTATGTAGCTCAGGCTAGCTTCAAGCTCACAGTGATCCTCCTATCTCAGCCTCCCCAGTGCTAGGATTACAGGGCATACACCACCAAGCCTTGCATGAGACCCTGCTTTAAAAAATAGAAAGAAGCCGGCTGTGGTGGTGCACACCTGTAATCCCAGCACTCGGGAGGCTGAGGCAGGAGGATCTCTGAAAGTTTGAGGCCAGCCTGGGCTACAAAGTGAGCTCAAGGCCAGCCTGAACTGCATAGTAAGACCCTGTCTCAAAAAGACAAAAAAAAAAATTATAAGATCTTATTAAGTCCTGGAGTTGCTCAGACAGGGCTCGGTCATAATCCCCCTACCTCAGCCTTCTAAAGTAGTGGGCTTACAGTCATGTCTAGCTTTTTAAAAATTTATTCTTTAATTAATTAATTAGTTTATTTATTTATTTTGTGGCAGGGTCTTGCTGTGCTTGAGTGCTTAACGATCTTGGGTTCAGTCCCCAATTCCCACACAAAAAACATCCAAAGAGCGACTTTTAGAATTAGGCAGTTATATTTACAAGACAATAAAGAGATGGGTAGGTCCTTGTCTCACACACTAAAAAGGGCCATATTAAAACAAGGGCCGCAGCTGGGCATGGTGACACACACCTGTAATCCCAGCACTCAGGAAGCTGAGGTAGGAGACTCACCATGAGTTCAAGGCCAGCCTGGGCTATAAAGTGAGTTCAGTGCTAGCCTGAACTACAAACTAGGACTCCTAAAAAACAAAAAACAAACCAAGAGCTGTGTGAGGTAGTGTGAGGTAGGGGATATTTTATTGCTAGGTAGGCAAGTCCAGACTGCAGAGAAGCAATTTTTTGTTTGTTTTTAAGTAAGTTTGTTTGGGTCAGGGTGTACATCTGCTACAAAGCTAAGTGTTTTGTTTTGTTTTCGCGTACTGGAGAGTGAATCCAGAGCCTCTGCACTGAGCAACACCCCCAGTGCTTTTTACATTGTTTAAGTTTTGAGATAAGGCCTTGCTATGGAGTTCAGACTGTCCTTGAGCTCACTTTGTAGCCAAGGCTGCTCTGGAACTTGCAGTGATCCTCCTGCTTTAGCCTCCCAAGTGCTCAGATTACAGGTGTGCGCCTCCACGCCGGGCCCCCAGTCTTTCTTACTTTGTTTCGTTTTGTTTTCTGAGACAGGGTCTCACTATGCAGTTCAGGGTGGACTTGAACTCACTATGTAGCCCAGGCTGGCTTCAAACTCATGGTGATCTCCCTGCCTCAGCCTCCTGAGTGCTGGGATTACAGGCATGCACCAGCAGGCCCGGCTCCCCAACCCTCTTTTTGGTTTGGTTTTAGTGTTTTTGAGACAGGGTCTCACTATGTAGTTCAGGCTGGCCTCAAACTCATGGCAGTTTTCCTGCCCCAGCTTCCCAACTGCTAGGATGATAGGTGACCACCACCATGCCCAGCTTGTTGTTTTGTTTTTTGTTTTTTAAACAGGACAAGTCATTAAATTACCCAGGGTGAGATTCCATTTGTGATCTTTCTGCCTCAGCCTTCCAGAATGCTGGGATTATAGCTGTGCATTATTATACATAGCTGAATCTGTTTTTACTTTGGCAAAACAGAGGCGGGTGTGTGTGTATAAAAGAAACGGAGTCAGTATGGCAAAATGTTAGACACACTAACAGTGAGGGCTGGGTTGTAGCTCAATGACAGAACACCGGCCTAGCACGCTCTGTCCTGGGCTCCAAGCTCAGCATGGGGTGGGGTGGGAGGAACTATTTCTGATGTGAATAGTGAACCCGTGGGAGAAACACAGATGGTCTACTATTTTGTTTTTGCAAGTTTGAAAATTCTCTACATTGTTTCACAGCTGGCAGGGGCTGCAGTTTTAGGCTGATTTATGTGTCTGTCCTTTGGTAGATTCAAGAAATCCATGGTGAAAAGTTTGGATTACTATGAGGAAAAAGAGGATGAGGTGATCAAAGAGGTGAGTTACAGGAGAGGCCTGTGATGCCTGTCCCCACGGCCGGCCTTCTAAGCAGCCTGTCTCCCACAGATGGCAGCTCAGATCCGCGAGGTGGAGCAGAGCCGGCAGGAGGTGGTCCGATCTGTCTTAGAGGTTGGTTTCCCTCGGAGGAGCCAGAGCAGTATCCACAAGCACTGATCCCTGGTTTTCCCAGGTCCAGCCCTTCAAGCACCAGCTCTTCTAAGAATTCAAGGACTCCATTCCTCAGCCGCATGGCTTGGGTTCCTGACCTGTCTGCCGGGCAGGCCTAGGCAGCAGAGCCGTGGGCAGGGCCGGGAGGGAGCGCGCAGGCTGGGCAGCACCGCCTTACGCCACTGGGGTGTGGAGTGTGGGGCATGGCCTAGGCAGGCTCTGGAGTACCTTAGACACATTTATTTTTCCTGAATCAAACTCAGCCTCAGGCAGAGCCAGATCCAGAAGAGGGCTCTTCAGCACCTGGAAGCAGGAAAGGGACAAACAGGTACGGCTGTCAGGGACTTGCTGGAGTTTGGCAACCTCGTGGCTGGGAAATGGGGACAGAGCTACTTTTTACCATCCTTATGGTCAAAGACCTCATCTGCCAGCCTGGGTCGTTTGTCTTTCAGCCAAGTAGCCTCCAGTTCACAGCAGCCCTCATTCTTGGACCTGCCACCAGCTCCAGAACTTGACTGGATGGAGCCCGGACAACCTCTGACATTCATTGGCCACCAGGTACAATGGACAAGCAGGTCAGAGGAGGGCCTGTAGCTCCTGAGGTCCCTGAACAGTCTTCTGTGTCCCTGCCTCTCCTGACCACGCTGTGCCCTCCACAGGCTTCTCCATCTGCTGCACTGCTCCTCTTTCCTTATTCACACTTGCGTTGCCAACATTGCCACTCAGGACTGCTAACCTCCAGGCCTGTTCCAGCTTGATACTGGACTTCAGTGTCCCACAGGCTCTGGAACTAAACCCTACCAGTGTCCTGTATTTCCAATTGCTACAGATGCAGATCCTTATTCCCTCCTTTAATTTCTCACACTGACAGTGAGTATACATCCATTGATTGTAGCGGTTGGAGTTACACCCAGGGCCTTCACATTGAGCTGCGCCCTCAGCTCTTTTTTAAATTTTCAAACACAGTCTTTTTTTTTTTTTTTTAAACAGTCTATTGACACTTAAAATACTCAGGCTGGGTTCAAACTTGTGATCCTCCTGCCTCAGCCTCCCATAGATCACAGGTGCATGTCAGCATGCCAGCCTGAGATTACCTATCGGCTTTAACTCCCTTATAAATTCAGCCTCAGGACAATTACATTCCCCCTCTGCAATCTTGCATTGCAGAAGCCACTGGAGCATCTGCCAGCTCACATCAGGTACCCTAAAGTGGGTTTTTTTTTTTTTTTTTCTTTTTGAGACAGGGTCTCAACTGTGCAGTTCAGGCTGACCTTGAGCTCACTTTGTCACCCAGGCTGGTCTCCAACTCAGCGATCCTCCTGCCTCAGCATCCCACATGCTGGGATTACGGGGGTGTGCCACCACGCAGGCCCCTAAAGTGTTTTGAGTCTGGCAGCTGTCTCCTCACAGCTGCTGCCTCTTCTCCCTCCTCTCCTTACCTTCCTCCAGCTCCCAGCTCAAATGTCATGTTTCCACCAGTGGTTTACAAGGTCATCTCTATTGTAAAGGGATGAAGTAACATGCATAGCTTCAAATGTTGTGTAACAGATGCTTATGTCCTCCCCAACTGTGTGTGTGCAGCCAGCCAGAGTGGGGTTGTGTTCCTGTCAAACAGCAGGTACCATATTGGACACATCCACCGTGAAGACCATGAGCCTGAGGCCAGGACTGTGTAAATGATTTATCACACTCAAAGATTCAGCATCATGAGAACACAGAATCCGCACTGCGGCAGAAGTTGTATTTACCTCCTTTAGTCTGCTTTGTCACTAGCTCAATGTATCCTTACCATCTCTTGGCTTATCTAGGATTTCTTTTTTCCCCCCATTTCCACTACAGGATGTACCTGGAGTTGGTAACATCCACTCAGGTAAGGTCCTACACAATGTATTTTGTTTGTTTTTTGGTTTTTTTCTGGTACCAGGAATCGAACTCACAACCTTGCACTTGCCAGGCAGGCGCTGTGCCACTGAGCTAAATCCCCAGCCCCTCTAAGCAATGTTTTTAAAGTTGTAATTTCTTTTAAAAAAAATTAAGTCAACCAAGATACAGCACGTGTGTCTGTTAAATACCTAGAGTATGGCAGAGAACTCAAAACTTAGTTTAGAACTGGGGATGCTGCTCAGTGGTAGAGTACCTGCCTAGTTTGTGAAAGAGCCCCCCAAACATACATATGTTCCCTAGCCATTAATGATTTGCTCTGACATAAACCTACCACTATTACCCAGCCTTTCTGTTCTTACTTGCCCAAAAGAACTCATCTAAAACAAATGTACACAGCCCCCAAACTGGAAACAGTCCTGATGTTCATCAGGTTAAGATGGACTGATTAACTGGGTAGTACTCAGCAACAAAGGGAAATACAATAAAGAACACATGAACCTCAACATAATTATGATCAACGGCCAGACCTCACTTTCAAATTACATATACCACTTAAGAGAAAAACGCTAAAAAATACAAATTAAAGCTAGATTAAGGCCGGGTGTAATTCCAGCACTCAGGAGGCTGAGGCAGGAGGACTATTTGGAGACCATCCTGGGCTACAAAGTGAGCTCAAGGCCAGTTTGAACTGCATAGTAAGACCCTGTTTCAAAAAGACACACAAAAAAGCTACATTAGTGGTTTCTGGGGACACAAAGGGCAGTATTTTTTGGTTGTGTGCTGAAGATCAGACCCAGAGCTTCAACCATGACTGAGCTACATCACTAGCCTCAGGAAGAATGCTCCTGTGACATGCAAGGTCTTGTGGTTGTAATCCCTAATCCCAGCACTAGCAGGCTGACACAGGACTGTCATCAAGTTCAAGACCAGCCTCAACTACATAGTGAGACCCTATCTAAAAAAAAAACCAAAAAAAAAAAAAATTCTGACATAGGGTTTCACAGTGTAGTCCACAGGGCCTCAAATCTTTCAATCCTACTGCCTCATCCTCCCAGGTGCTGTAATTATAAGCACACACCACCATACATGGCCTGGGTTTTATTTTTGAATGTTTCTAGTTCTCCATTGGGTGAGGTAAAAAAACACTGGCACATGCCTGTAATCCCAGCTATTCAGGAAGCTATGCAGAGGGCAAGTTCAAGGCCATCCTGAGCAATTTAAGACCCCATCTTGAGATACAAAATTTTAAGTGTGAGTGTAGCTCTAGTAAGTTGCAGAGTGCCCCTGGGTTCAAACCCAGTATTAAAAAGTAAAACCGGGGCTGGGGATTTAGCTCAGCGGCAAAAGCTCCTGCCTGGCAAGCGCAAGGTCGTGAGTTCGGTTCCCGGTACCGGAGAAAAACAAAAAACCAAAAAAAAACTTAAAAAAAAAAAAAAAAAAGCAAAACCTTTAATTTTTGCCTAATGGATCTTACACCAGGTGCCACACCTCCCTGGATGATTCAAGATGAGGAATACAGCTCTGGGAACCAACAAATAGGACCTTCCTATGAAGAATTTCTTAAAGAAAGTAAGTAACCTGATTTAAAAGGGTAGAAAGTTCTGGTCTTCACACTTAAGACTCTGTCATTGCAGAGGAGAAAGAAAAACTCAAGAAGCTCCCCCCAGACCGAGTCGGGGCCAACTTCGATCACAGCTCCAGCACCAGTGCAGGCTGGCTGCCTTCTTTTGGCAGAGTTTGGAACAACGGGCGTCGCTGGCAGTCCAGGTACGGACCCTATGCCAGGGCTCCAACCCACCATCTCTTTGGCAGTCTCACCCCTCACCTTGCTAACCCTTAATTTCCTTTCAGGCATCAGTTTAAAACTGAAGCTGCAGCAAGGAATAAACAGCAGCCTCATAAAGAAACAAGCTGATCATTCCCAGGTGTTCTTGCACAACCAACCCCCACCCACCCATACTCTTCCCGCCAAGCCCTTTGCTATGAAACACACGTACCCATTCATTTGATTTAATAATAAATTTTTATTTTTTCCAAATGTACAGCTGGTTGAACCTGTTAAAAAAAAAAAAAAAATCAGAACCGTAGAACTTTGTAAAGGAGAGGACACGATGCACCTGCCACCCAAGCCCATGGTTCCCGCTCACCTGTTTATCATGCATCTTCCCCAGCGGCAGGGGCATCCCCACCCTTGGTGTTTCTGGTATAAATAACTTGAGCTCTGTGCTTTGAAACCAGCTTGATAAGTCCTAGCAAGAAAGCAGGTAAAATTTTTACATGTTAGCACTATGAGATACTCCTTACCTATCAGAAACTAGTTTTCTACCCCTTCCAAAATAGTACTGCTTAATTTGAGACAGGAAGGTATGCCTACAGTTCTTGATTTTTTTCCCTTTTTTGGGTAAGAGGTAATTATGCACTCAACTCAGGGCCTTCACACTGAGCTACATCCCCAGCCTTGCTGGGGCTACAGGCACACACTACAGTACCCAGCTAATGAGCATCTTTGTCTAACCTTTAAATCAGAAACCTATTTCTTTAATCACAACTTCTGGGGCTAGAGGTATATAGCTCAGTGGTAGAGCACCTACTTATGAGGCCCTAGGCATGCTCCTCCAGCACTACAAAGGACAAAGTGGAGTTACACCATTCACTTTAGTGATTCATCACTCAAGCTTTAGCTTAGTGCATCAGTAAAAATGAAAATGTTTCTCACATATTTAAAAAATTCCAAGCCGGGCATGGTGGTGCATGTCTGTAATCCCAGCACTCATGAGGCTGAGGAAGAGGATCATTGCAAGTTCGAGACCAGCCTGGGCTACAAAGTGAGCTCAAGGCCAGCCTGAACTGCATAGTGAGACCCTGCCTCAAAAAGACAAAAAAAATTTCAAAAAAAATAGTAATTCAAAAAAATTCAAGATACATTATGCACAGCAAGTATACCAATAAAATTAAAAAGTACATAATCATTGTTCAACTGTAATTCCACACAATTCAAAAAAAAAATTCCGCCCAGTCATGGGGGCTCACACCTGTAATCCCAGCACTCAGGAAGCTGAGGCAGGAGGCTCACCAAGAGTTCGAGTCAAGCTACATAGTGAGACTGTCTCAAAAAAAAAAACAAAAAAAACCCAAAATTCCAACATTTTCCACTAAGAGCACTCAGGATGCATTTCATGGTCAAGACAACTGAACCCCTAAAAACACACCATCTCAACACACCCTCACCTTTACTAAGGAGCTCCTGAAGGGCTGCCCTGGCCAGTGACCCACGAATCTTCAATCTTTCAGAGACCACAGCAGGCGTTATAAGTTTATAGTTGGGAACTTCCTTACAGAGTTTGTCGTAAGTAGCTTTATCAAACAGAACCAGATTGTTGAGCTTGTCCCGAACTTTGCCTTTAGACCACTTCTGCTCACAAAGAGGAAAAAATAAAGGAGTCAGTAACCCTGGCAGAACACCCTTTCCCTCCCATACAGCAGATGTTAAGGAATCTTTCCTTGTTACTACTGAAGATTAAGCTATAGGTTACAAAACTGAATGCTGCATCACAGGGGCTCTGGAGCATGGGCTGAGACTCACAGTATATTAAAATAACCTGTACAATCACCAAAGCAAACCTTTTTATCCGCTTATTTCCATGCCTTTTTAAAATAATGTGTACCACCCTTTCCTACAAGTAGAAAAAAGTGACGGCAAGAACATAAACTCCAATACGTTAGTATGGGTCTAAATTACTATTATTTGTAGACAAGATCTAGCTATGTAGTTCAGGAGGGCCTGGAGCTCCCCGAGAGCCTCCTGCCTCAGCCTCCCGAGTGCTGGGATTACAGGCATGCGCCACCACGCCCGGCTACGGATGGATTCCAGAAACCGGTGCCACACCGATCACCCAGGTGCGCTCGCTTACCTTCTTTTTGGCCTTGCCCCCAGATTTGTTCACGGGGTCTTTGTCTTTCTTGGCCGACTTCCCGGCATCTTTCTTCTTCTTGTCGTCTTTGGGCGGCTGCAGGAGCAGACGGGGCGCGCAGGCAGGTCAGAGCGCGGCGCCACGCTTCCCCAGCGCCCCGCTTCACGGCGTCGCCGGGCTACACGGGAGCACATGGGGACAGCAGTCCCCTTCCCCGCGCGGAGGCCCGCCCCGCGGCCCTACCGTGCGCTGTGGCCTCCCCTGCGCCCGAAGACAGCCCGGCTCTCAGAGCCCCCGGCTTCCCCGAAACTTACCATCGCGGAGCTCCGACAGCGGCGCCGACCACAGCAGCCTCGTCAAGATGTCGGACAGAAAGGAAGCGCGGCTCACCAGCAGGGCCCGAAACCTCCGCCCGCAGCAAGTACTTCCGGGGCAAGGGGCGGAGCCACACGGAGGAAGTTGGGCGGGGCGAGGCGGAGTGGGGAAGCGGGTCCATTTCTCAAGCCGCGCCCCCGAACGCTGCCCTCCGCTAGGTTATTGGACTCTGCCGCTAGCAGTGGGGTAGTCACACAGTCCTCGTCTATCACCCAGACGCGGAGAAGAATTTACCAGGTCCTCGTGACTACGTAGCTTGCAGGCCCGGGCGGTAGCCCCGTGTGCGCAAGCGCAGGGAGAACGCCGCCGTGGAAACCAGGACGGTCTTTTGACAGCGGTTCCGGGGCGAGGACCTCGGAAAGAGCCCGGATTCGGCACAGGCGCCGCCGCCACAGCGATGGCAATTTTTAGTGTGTATGTGGTGAACAAAGCTGGCGGCCTGATTTATCAGCACGACAGCTACGCGCCGCGCGCTGAGGCTGAGAAAACTTTCAGTTACCCGCTGGATCTGCTGCTCAAGCTGCACGACGAGCGAGTGCTGGTTGCCTTCGGCCAACGGGACGGCATCCGGGGTGCGCCGGGCTCGGGGGCGGGGCCCGTGCTTCGGAAGTGGGCCGGGGTGAAGGGGCCGAGTGGGGGCGGCAGGGGGGTGTGCCGGGCCCCTTGTCCCCTCGGCGGAGTCCCGGGCCTGGAGCCTCGCTGACCCCTGGCCTCGCCTCTGCAGTGGGCCATGCAGTGCTGGCCATCAATGGCACAGACGTGAACGGCAAGTACACGGCCGACGGGAAGGAGGTGCTGGAGTATCTGGGTAACCCCGCTAATTACCCGGTGTCCATTCGCTTCGGCCGGCCCCGCCTCACCTCCAATGAGAAGCTCATGCTGGCCTCCATGTTCCACTCGTAAGTCCCCTCTCTCTGCACTGCAGATCGGCCCGCGCCTGCTTCCAGGCTGGCGGGATTAGTATGGTTCTTTGGGCACTTGTGAAGAGAAAAACAACTCGTCCATCTTGCCCAGACTTTACTGACAATGCTGATCTTGCCTAAGTTAGTCTCTCTTCTCTACGCCTGTTTCTTCATCAATAAAATAAGGCAATTGGGCCGGGGATATTGCTCAACGGCGCAGCGCCTGCTTGGCAAGTTCAAAGTCCTGAGTTCGATTCCCGGTACCCACACACACAAAAATTGAAATAAGGCAGTTGTTGGGGGTGTTGGGAGGATAAGGCTTGACTGCCAGAGATGAAAATGTTCTAATATATTAGAAAATGCTCTAAAATTGGAGGGGGGTGGCTGCCCGAGTTCTTTATATACTTAAAACACTGGGTTGTACACTTTAAATAGATGAATTTGTGGTATGTAAATTGCATCAGTAAAGCATTTTGGAATTGATACTCCATCCACTAAAGGACCTTTTAAAAAATCTTTTCCTTCTCTTAGCCATGGTATGAGATGTGCTGGCGTAGGCTTAGCCGCAAGCTAAGTAAGCATGCACTCGTTCCCCAGAATGTTCATTTTACGTTTTTGGTGTAAAATGTTTTGTAGTAAAGTGTATGCAGAAATCAAATGAATTTAAAAGAAATTCTGACAGTGCTACCAGGCAGTTCACACTCTCTCCCCTTAGTGTACTAGTCTGTAAAATGCACGCCTCAGCGGAGAGTGGTGGCGCCTGCCTGTGATCCAGCACTTTGGAAGACTGAGGCAGGATGATGGCTAGTTCAAGCCCAGCCTGGGCCATTTAGTGACTTAGTGAGACCTTGTCCGGAATGAATGAATAGAAAATGGTCTGGGGGTGTAGCTACGTGCAAAGGCTCAGGGTTCAAGCTTCAGTACTACAAAAGTAAATGAACTCATTAGATAGGATGACTTCAGTAGAAATGTTTGAGAAACACTGTTCCCTTACAGTACTGGGGCGCTTTCCCAGCTTTATCTCCTTTGCATTATAGGCTCTTTGCCATAGGCTCCCAGCTGTCCCCTGAACAGGGAAGCTCAGGCATCGAGATGCTGGAGACAGACACATTCAAACTGCACTGCTTCCAGACGCTCACAGGTATGCCTCCTCATGGCCAGGGGGATAGAGCGGGCAGGCTGGGCCAAGGACTGGCTAAAGACAACTTTGGAGAGCAATACGGGGAGTGTCAGGTTTTCCCAGAACAGTTATACAGACACATTACTGTTTGCTTTGAGAATCCAAAGCCAATATTTAATCTGAAGCTCATTTTATCCACATCACCCAGCATGTTCAGCCCTGGTCATGTTGAGTTCAGATAAAACTCAATGATAAGGTTGTACACGTTCCAAAATGAAATTTAAAAAGCCAAGCAAAAATGGCCTTTGGGTAATTCCAACACTTGGGTGGCTGAGACAGGAGGATTACTGTAAGTTTGAGGCCAGCCTGGGCTACATAGTAAGTTCAAGGCCTGCCTGAACTACCTAGCAAGATTCTGTCTCAAAAAAAAAAACAGTATGGGGGCTGGGGATTTAGCTCAGTGGCACAGCACCTGCCTGGCAAGCACAAGGTAATGAGTTCGATTCCCGGTACCAGGGGGAAAAAAAAAAAAAATATGAAAATAGCCTTTGGAGCCTGGTGCATGTCTGTAATTGCAGCACTCAGTGGGTTGAGGCAGGAGGATTGCTGTGAGTTGGAGGCCAGCTTGGACTACAAAGTGAGCTGAAGGCAGCCTGGAACTGCATAGTGAGACCCTGTCTCAAAAAGGCAAAAAAAAAAAAAAAAAAAAAAAAAAAAAAAAAAAAAAAAAAAAAAAAAAAAAAAAGAAAAGAAAGTAGCCTTTGGATTGTGTTATTGCAACTCTCTCTTAATGTAGACAATTGAAAATGGCCTGAGAGTGTTCTCTGCTTGCACTGTTTCTGCTGAGGGATTCTAGGACAAGGAGTAAAGTGACAGAACTTAAAGCCTGGTCTCTCAGTGACTTGGGTGAAATAAAAGTCACTTCATTTCTCTGGTCTCTTCTGTAGATTCGAAGTTTTGCCTTTTCTTCTTTATGTAGCAATATGGATACAAATGGGCTCACGACAGTACTTTACAAAATTGAAAGTACTGTAAAAATACAGGATGGTGTTGTTTGATGGTACCTTTGGTAACCAATCTTTGTGGACTCTTTCCAGGGATCAAGTTTGTGGTGCTGGCAGATCCTAGGCAAGCTGGAATCGATTCTCTTCTCCGAAAAATTTATGAGATTTACTCAGATTTTGCCCTTAAGAATCCATTCTACTCTCTGGAAATGCCCATCAGGTAGGTGGCTCTATTTGCCAGATACTGTTCAAAGCATTGTGCTCTCCTTGAAGTTTTTTTTTTTTTTTTTGTATTGGGAATCGAACTCGGGACCTTGTACTTGTCCCCAAAGTCACTTGAGGTATAGCAGAATATTACTTTTAAGTAAGACAACAATGACTAGCCCCTTATTTATGTATTTATTTATTTATTTTTGAGGCAGGGTCTCACTATGTAGTCTTGGCTGGCCTTGAACTCAAGGTAATCCTTCTGCCTCAGCCTCTTACTGGTGTGCACCACCACGCCCAGCCAGCCCTTTATTTATTCAGAGAAATTACAAAGACTTTTTCTTGGAGTTTGTGTCCATCAAGTGCTGTTTCCACTGGCCCTGTCTGTATGTAAAGTGGGGGAAGAGCCTCAGGCCTCACAGTTTTTTTTGTGTCTCCCCCGTCTGGCCTAGGTGTGAGCTGTTTGACCAAAACCTGAAGCTAGCGCTGGAAGTAGCAGAGAAGGCTGGGACTTTCGGACCAGGGTCATAGAATAAACCTGCATTGGACTTCCAAATTCAGATTAGTCTTATAGCAGAGGTTCTGCTATTTCTGCTCCAGCCCAGCAGTCTTGCTAGTGTAGTTGAAATGGAGAATGCTGAGTCCGATGACACACACTGATCCCTGAGCCTTAATGCCATGCTCTCCCTTTTGTATATATTGTGGTCCTACTTCCCGACTTTGTACAGATTTATTTATGGAGGCAGTAGGCCCATAAATGTAATAAACATTCCTTTGATCCAGTGTTTCTTGTCATAACTGATGGTTTTAAGGAAAGGCATGGGAGGGAGAGAAATGGTATGGGACTTCAGAGAAGCGGCGATACTGTGTTCCAGTAGAAAGCAAAGCAAGTGTGCTCACTGAGTGAATGAATATAATACTTGAATCCGGTGTCTTGAATGTCATCCAGATCTGCTACTTTCCTGGGTTGAGGTGGCAGTGATGATGGAGACACAACATTTGCCCAGGACTTAGAACCAGGCTTTCTTGCCTTATCTCACTTCATCTTCACCCACCCTCAGGGAGTTCATTCTCCTGCATGAGTTAGCAAGTACAGACTGCTCCAGTCTGCAGGCGTTGGATCTGTGTCCGTACTTTCTGACTGTTCAGCCATCTCAGTGCTGTTGTACAGCCTCCAGCCACGGTGTTTAACCTGCTACATTCCAATAGCTTTGTCTCTAAAATGATCACTGCAAGTGTCCAGCTAAAGACAGAGGAGGCATGAGCTTAAAGGCTTCATCCACACTTCCGCTTTCCTATTCCTGGGAAGTATCCGTGTATCGACAAGATAATTTCCCAAGGAAAGCTGTCTCTGGCTTATTTTACCCCTTTTGCAAAAAATCAGTCACTGACTGTTTTATATCAAATCTAGCTTTAATCCCTTAACGAATTGTCTTACCCTCCCATTCGTTCCCCTCCTGTACTCAGGGTGTTGGTGAGAGTGGTGGCCTCCTCTCTTCCCCTAAGACTCAGGTATTAGCAAAAGCTGTTGCCCACTGCGGAGAGGCCTCAGGGCACAGTGGAAGTCACAAGTCATTGGTGCCCTGCAGCTGCAGGGCCAGCCTTGGCTCAGATGGGGATGGGTGAGATGGGGGTAGGACAAGGCTGAGGAGACACAGAAGGGTAAGGGGACACGCACATCCAATTTCCTGTTCATCTGGAAATGAACCAATTAGCTAATGGGAGTCCAAAGACAAAGGTCTTTTAAATAAAGCACAGGATGGAGAGATGACACCTCATTAGCCACTGATAATTTCCAGTGCCACGTGGGTGAAGGACAAGGTACAGAGATGAACGTGAAAGGTGAAAGGCTCAGCGCTAGCCGGGGCAGCCCCCCTTTCTGCACCCCGGACTGTGCAGGGTAACCACAGGGGAGAGGGTGCTCCAGAGCCAGGACTCTTCACTCTGCCTTCTTGGGCATTTGACCCATCTTGGTGCGGATGTTTCGGAGTAGGAAGAAACCAGCTGTACTGGCTGCACAGATCATTTCCGCCACCCAGAAGGCTGTGCTCCAACTGTAGTGTTTGGCGATGGTACTGAAGGGCAGCCCGGCCAGAAAGCCACCCACTGTCAGGGAGGAGGGAAGAGCCTGAGCCCTTGTGAGGGGAAGCAGGGGGGCTGGCTCTTGCCTCTAGCAAGGCAGAGAGGGAGCAAGGTGGATACACTAGAAGTATCACTTACCATTGGCCATTAGTCCCACGATGGCATGAGAGGTACCACACAAATTGGAAGGGGCGCTTTCATTGGCTATGACTCCAAACAAGGCAATGGGCCCATAAGAGGAGAAACCAAAGACAGCACCCAGTACCAGGATCCAGATCTGCAAGGGCAAGCCAGGGTGGCATTCAGTCAGAAAGCCCACTCCCTACCTGCCTGCCCCTGCCAGAGGAGAGCTGAGGGTTCGGCTCCCAGCAGCAAACAGTAATAAAGAGACTGTGAACGACCCTCCTCACCCCTCTCCCCACTGTAACTGACAGTATAGAGCCAGGATGGCAGGTGGATGGGGCTCTGAGCCACCCAAGGGTAGGCGGGCAGGGAGGGGAGATACAGGAGCCATCCCTGGTTCAGATGGTATTTGAGTATTTACATAGGCTGGATTGGCTAGGGCAAGGCAGGGGGCAAGGACAAAAATGTGAAAGACTGGGGAAACCAGAGATATCGTTAAGGCACCTCGTGTTCCGTAAAGCCTGTGAGCTCAGCAAGAGGGTGGAGAGCCGGAGTCCAGAAAGCATCTTCCTGGAGGAGCAGAGGAAAGAGAAGAAAAGCAGACCCAGAGTGGAGGAGAGGAACTAAAATAAAGAGCTGAGTTGCAAACAGAACTGAAAATGAAAATCAGAGGCAGAGAAAGGACTAGCCCAGGCAGGAACAGGGAAATGGTGACAGTCAATGGCCCTGGCCTCTCCTTGTACTCGGCTGTGGCCCAGGCTGTCTGTGTTTACCTTCGGGGAGTCACTGGTCACCGTTACCCGGAAGAGGTACATGGACGCGGTCATGCCAGCCATCATGAACAGCAGCAGGCCATGGCGAGGGTTCCCATAGACAGACAGCCCCGCCTGCGGGTAGAGGCCCAGGGACATCAGGCGCCCACTCTGGACTCTGACACAGGAGGGCCTCTGCTGTCAGATATTTAGCAATCCCATCACAGTTCTTGGCTCCAGACAGCTCTGGGCGGCCCTGAGAGCTACTCACGTCCTAAGGCCAAATTCCACACCCTCCCTCCACCTTGGCACAGGCCTGGGACACGTGCTGGGGAGCTGCACCCAACCTACCACCACCCCCAGTTTTCCTGGAGCAGTGACACCTACAGCTAGGCTGAAGTTCTCCATGAGCTCTGTTGAAACCCTCCCTCCAATAGCCTTATCTCCATATCCCCAGGGAAGATAACAGTAGTGTGAAATCGTTCCCACCTCACCCAACCTAAACCTGCACATGACACCAGGCCTGTGTACCAGCACTCCCATTATTCTGTGTCTGCCTCAGCCACCCTGGAAGACCCAAAGGGACACTCCTTCCTCCCCTGCCTGCTCACCTTTGCCATGGCCCGGTCTGACAGGTAGCCAGCTGCAATGCTGCCCACAAGACCCCCAACCTCCAGGGCACTCATGTAGGAGCTACCTGGAGTAGGGAGTTGTGGGGAAAGGGACAGGTAGGGTAGAAGGCTGTTATATACGAGAGTTGTCCCACACACTTAGAGAGACCCCAAGCGTGACCAGCCATAGCTGCCTGAGTAGTGCCCAGCCTCAGGGAAAAATAAATGAGAAGGAGAACAAGGGCCTGGATTCCTCATCTCCTGCCTTGGTTCCTGCTTTAATGCCCTGGTCATCATCTTACCCACGAGGGCGGACTGTCCTCGCTCCTGGATAAGGAAGAACTGGCCCCAGTCTGTGCAGCACGTCTTTACGCCAAACACCACCAGGTAGCCTGTGGAGAGCACCCACAGGTAGGGGGACAGCAGCAGCTCTCGCAGGGTACTGTCCTCTTTGGAGGAACCTGGAGGTGGGACAAGACCAGGCCTCAAGCTCTGCTCTGCCACCCTGCCCCCCTCATTAACCAGCCATAGGGACAGAGCGCTTCGGCACAGCCAGGCACAGCTGAGGGTATCGCCTTATGTCTGCTTGCCAGCCCCACTGCAAGTCTCAGTAAATGAAGGAGAAACAGAACTAGGGCAGATGGAGAAGGCACCCAAACCCTGTAGGATGTGCTCTAGAACAGGGAAGCCTGCTGTTTCGAGCAAGGACAGAGTATAACATGAGTCACAGCACTGGTTGGCTCTGTCTCTCGGGATGAGTTTTGTTTTTTGTTTTTGTTTTTTATTTTTTTGGTACCAGGAATCAAACTCAGGACCTTGTGCTTGCCAGGCAGGCACTTGTGCCACTGAGCTATATCCCTGGCCCATGGAGTTTTATTTATTCCCCATGCAACTTCCATGGCTACCCCTTCCTTACATCCACTGGCAAGCATAGGACAAGGTGTAAGTCTAGTCCTCAACAACATCCTGACAAAATCCACGAAGAACAAGGGGCCCTGGCGGTTGGCTTGGGTGGCGGCTCACCCTTCTTGCCCTTGGAGGGAGTAGGGTCCAAGTTGCGTAGTCCAACATCAGCAGGTTCGTTGTGGATGAGGAGGAGGCAGAGGAAGGAGACAGCCACACACAGGGCCCCAGACAGGGCCAGCGTGCTGCGCCAGCTGTAGTTCTGGGCAAGGATGGTGGCCAGGATTGGGCCCAGCCCTCCAGCCAGGTTCATGCTGGTTGACAAGATGGCCCACCAGGTGCCAAACTGAGATGGCTCAAACCACTGTGATGCAGAGGAGGAGAGAGTGGGTGCCAGGCCACCAACCCATGTTGAGGGTTGGGTTTATGTTGGGGAGATTCAGAAGCTCACATTACAGGGATGAAGATGCTTCTACTTGGCAGAGCCAATTCCCTCATCTGCCACCTGATCCCACCTCCTAAAATATCTTGACAAGCAACAGGAGCTGGCTAGGAGCTCCTGAGGAACCTGCTGTGGGGGTCAGAAAGGGTGCTCTCACATGCACACGAGGTACCCTCTGTGCCAGTGGTGGCAAACCTACGGCACATGTGCTGCAGCAGGCTGTTTATGCCACTGAAAGCTCTAAAAGGTTCGCCATCCCTTTTCTATGCCAACCCAGCAGGCTTGTTGGAAGCACTCACCTTCCGTAGGATCTTCCCACACGGGGGCCAGCCCAGCCCCTGTGCCAGGCCATTAAGGAACCAAAGAGCAGCAAATACAGGTACTGTGGAGCTCCAGGAAAAGACTACATTGACCAAGCCAACCAGGAGCAGCCCGGAGGAGAACAGCCAACGAGCACTCATCTGGTCGGACAGCACTCCGCTCACAAACTTGCTGATGGCATAGGCTGCCGACTGGCTGCTGGTGATGAGTCCTGAGGGGAGCAGGGAGCAGGACACCTGGGGGGTTAGGGGCAGGGCAGAGGCACAGGAGGGGTGGAGGAAGGCATGGGGTCAGGTGTGTGGAGCTGCCCAGCAGGGTACGACAGGTTCCTTCTCCAAGGAACAAGAGCCTGAACTGCGGTTGGGGATGCCACCTCTGCTACTGCTCCTTCCTGCCCCACCAGCAGCACTAGCCCTAGGTTGACTTCATTTCTCCCCTGCTAGAGTCCAGCTGCAGCAGCTGGGGACAAGAAGGAAGCAGCTTCCCTCTATGGGAGTTGCATATACCTGAGCTCTCACCTCACCCTGATGCCAGTCCGAGGCATCGAGCAGCTCTGTGCCCCACCTCTGCACATGGGCAGAAGGGTATGGATGGGCTCAATATGGGATGGGGATCTTGTCCCTCCTGAAGGGTGGCATGCAGGCCACATGAAACGACCAACTTCCCAATGCTAACCCCTGCAGCGTCAGCGTGCACGCACTGTGGAAAAACCTCGCCCAGAGCTCCCCAAAACATCATAAACATTGCCTGCGCGGGCTCTGGTGGATCAGGGCAGATCCACACCAGACAAGCACCCCCCTCAGTCCTTTGCACACCTGTGGGCACACAGTGGCCCAGCCCTGATGTGCAGATCTGCCATGCACACTGCATGCCCATGCACACTGCACTGCCACACTTAGCGTGGCCTGTGAGTTCTGGGTCCCAGGGTCCACCACCCTGCCCTTCAGGGCTCACCCAAATCATCCTTGTCCAAAGGGATCTCTTCCACCAATGCTGGCATGACAAAGGAGAAGGTCTTGCGGTTGAAGTAGTACAGGCTGTAGCCCCCAAACATGGCTGAGAAGATCACAGCGCGGTAATAGCCGTAGCCTTGGCCTGCCATGGTAAAAAGGAGCAGATCCCGCCAGGCAGGACTCACAGCCTCTGACCAAGCTCCTGCTTTCAGCTCTCTCAGTGCCCAGATCTGCTGAGTTGTCTTTTTTCCGCTCCCTCCTCCACTCAGCCTCCCAGGCTCCCTTTATAGCTGCCTTCTGGACAATTATTAAGCTTGGGGCCGCTCCTAGGGAACCCAGTGTCCTGAGGGAGACAAGAAAACATTACTGACAGCCAAACTGCAGGGTTGGGGGGGGGGCTCCCAGAAAGAGGCAAGCGAGCTTGTTCAGCACCCCATGTACCCAGGATTTCTGCCTTTCCCTCCTTTTCCACGTCTGCCTGCCTGGGAAACCAGCTGTGATTAAAAGCTCAACCTAATTACTTTTATTTGCAGGAGCCCTGGGGAGGCAGGGGTGGGATGAGCAGAGCTGCCCTCTCCATGCACCCCTGCGCCCTCAGTCACCAGACCTCATTCACTTAGGGAAGGGTTAGGAGGGCTCCTGGTTGCCAGGCACCGCAGTAAACGCTAGATCCGCTTCCACACACGTTCTGTCCCTCTTTCAGTCAGGCACGATATCCCAGCAAGCGCACCTCCAAGACTTCTAGCGCTGACCTCACCCAATGCTTAGCACATAACAGGGCTGATATGGGAGTTCCGCCTTATCCTTGGGGGTACACCCCAGCCCTCCCAAGGATAGTAACACACATATATAAATATATATATACGTAGATATGTATATATAATTTTTTATTATACATACCTATGGTAAAGGTTATAAATTAGGCATGGTAAGAAATTTACAACAATTATAACAATATACTTCAAATTTATGAATTATTTCTGGAATTTTCCATTTCATATTTTACCACTTCAGTTGACCTCAGTAACTTGCACCACACCGTGGATAAGAGGGGGCTCCTGCAGCTGCAGAATGAGAAGCAGGGAGAAGCCCCCCCGCGTTCGCCCCAGTGTCACGAGGAAAGCTCCACGCGGGGCCGAGGTCTCGATGGCGCCGCTCAGAGCTGCCTCCGGGTCCCCATTACCCGGCGAGACGTCAGAGCGGGCTTCCGTCTGCAGGGGCCCGGGGCGGCCGAGCGCCCCGCTTCCCAGCCCGCAGAGCGCCGGCCTTTCTTTTCCGCTCGGCCGGGCAGCAACTGGAGCAGAAGGCGCGGGCAGGCGGGCGCACGTAGGCGCCCTGGCAGAGGAGCCCGCGGCGAGGACGCGGAGGGCAGCGGGCCAGCGCGTGTCCTCAGGACACCCAGGACACCCGACTCCGGGGTGGGGACGCGGCCCGGGCGCGGCGGCGGAGAGGAGTGGCGACCGCAGGGCTGCGCGGATTAAAGCGGGTGTCAGCGCCTCGGCGGCCCCCGCGCCCAGGAACTGTCCCCCACCCCGGAAGGGGCAGACGCAGAAACAGCCCCGTGTAACACCGGAAGCTAGGCTTCCCCGACAGTGTAGCCCCAGCACCGGAGGCACCCAGCCCGGTTCTCCCGTGAGCCCCTCCCCTGCCCGCTCCCCCTACCTGGACAGAGGCGGGAGCCCAACTAAAACGGGGCGGGGCCAGCCGGACGGCGCTGCGCATGCGCCAGGGCTAGGGGCGGGGCCTCCGCCTGGACCTTCCCAGAACCCCGAGGCCGTTCTCCTCTAGCAATGTTATCTTAGTCCTGCGTGCAGGTCGCCTAGCTCCTAGCGCTAGGGCAGCGCCCTCTAGGGGTTGGGTAACAGGTCCATTTTTTTTGATACAGCATCTTGCTAAGCGGTTCAGGTTGGCCTTGAACTCACACTATGTAGCCCAGGGTGCCCTCGAATTTGCAGAGATCCTCCTGCTTCAGCCTCTCGAATAGTGGAATTAGGAGCGTGCACCATCATGCCCGGCTAGGTCCACTTCTTAACCGATTGCATTTGACAAATCACTTTCTAGTGAGTGCCTCCCACTACCTAACAATGGGGATAAATACGAAGGTAACAATCGTTGTTCCCATGTTGCCCGCATTCTGGGAAAAGTCTTGTAGGAGCACAGTATTTGCTGTACAAAATGAGTGCACTTCTCAGCACAATTTGTAGTGTTAGCCTGTAGTCAGACTGTTCGTGGCAGAGGGAATATAGCTATAGTATTTAGTTATTTATGGGAACCTGGAATCAAACTCAGGATCTTGCACTTGCCAGGCAGGCTCTGCTTCACTGAGCTATATCCTGGGTCCCCAAAGTGTTTAAAGGACAAAGCCCTAAGGGAACTTAAAATTCGAACCATGAACTCCCTATGTTGTTGCTTTTCTCTACACTGGGGATCACACCCAGGGGTGCTCTACCATGGAGCTACATCCTCAGCCCCATTTATTTTTTATTTTGAGACAGGGTTTTGTTAAGCTGCCCAAGCTGGCCTGGAACTTGTGATCCTCCTGTTTCAGCCCCCTGAATAGCTTGGTTTATAGCAGTAGGCCACCATGTCAGACTTTTGAACCCACTTTGGTCTGTAAGCCCCAGTTTTTATTTTTTATTAATATCATAGTTTGTTGTAAGAACTTAACAGATGATATAGAGGAGAGCTCAGAAAATGTGTTAGAGTTCTGCACGACTTGGCTTTCATCTGTTAAACCAAACTCAAGACGGATCTCTAAAATAAGGAAACTTCTTGCGCTATTACACATGTTGGCCAGAAAAAGACATCCTGAAACAAGTTCCTGCAGTCACCACTGCAAGACCAGGTAGCAGCTGAGAAAACATCTGCTGGATTTAAAAAGCCAGAATATTTTAAAATAAAAAGTTAGACAAGAAAGCATAAATAAACTGGGTGTGGTGGCACCTGTAATCTCAGTATTCCAGAGGCTGAGGCAGGAGGATCACTGAGAGTTTGAGGCCAGCATGGGCTATGTAGTGAGACCCTGTCTCAGAAAAAAAAAAGCATACATTGTTTGCATTGAACCTACATTGGCCATAGATAAGAGAAGTGGAATAACTAAGAATGGGAAAAGTTCGGAAATAGAAGGATGAGCTACAAGAAATACTGGTTACTCCTGGCCTGGGGTGGTTGGAAGCGGAATTTGATGGCCGTGATGGGGGAGCTGTGGGAGATCTGAGGTAGGTTTCAAGGTGTGTTCAGGAATGTGGAGCAGTTTTGTTCTTTTGGGCTGAAGCTGTTAGCTGATCAACTTACCTCTTTCCTCCTCCACCCTCCTGCCTTTGTAGTTGAAGTTAGGGTGCCTCAGAATTTTTCCCTGTCACACTGGCCCCACAGAAGAATGGCCGAGAGGACTGTACGTGCTCCAAAATTGAAAGCAAAGATCTTTTACACTCTGGAAGCTGGTCCTGGAAGGCAGGTGGCGGAGATGAGATCAAACAGGGCTAATCACCACAGGGACAGAGGAAAAATACTGTGGGCTTTTAACCTGTTGCTCATTAAAAGCATGATTTGAGCCAGGCTGGTGGCACATCCCTGTAATCCTAGCACTCTGGGAGGCTGAGGCAGGAGGACTGCAAATTCAAATCCAATCCTTAGCAATTTAACCAGACCCTGTCTCAAAATTTAAAAAAAAAAAAAAGAGAAAAAATGCTGGGGTTGTAGCTCAGTGCAAAAGGGTTCAATCTCCAGTACCACACACACATACAAAAAAAAATTTTATATTTATTTTTCAAGAGCCCAGGTCAGCTGGATGTGGTGGCACATGCCTGTAATCCCAGCACTTGGGAGGCTGAGGCAGGAGGATCATTGTGAGTTTGAGACCAGCCTGGGCTACAAAGTGAG